GGGAGCCTATTATATAGATCATTTTCTATCTTTTCAAAATAAAATATGTTTAACATGTAATCATAAATGAATGTTATAATTTTGAAATTATTACATTGTGCAAATATGGGTTTTATTAGCATAAAAATTGCAAGGGGTCTGGGACTCAAATAAAATTTGAGACGATCTAGATATTTTTTTACCTTTTAGAAACAAACCATCATATTTAAATTGTGGTTATAAATAAATCTTATAATTTTGAAATTAGAACAATGTTCGAATAAGATAGTGGTTTCCAACTTTCTCATAGTGCACACCTCCTAAGTTCTTATCTTAATTTTGCTAACAATCTAATTTCATAAATATGCTACTAATTATTGCAAATTAATATACAATTTTTTCGCAAAAAATCTTGAACCGATTTTGAAATTTTAAAGACCCTTTAAAGATACCGAATACATTAAGTATAGATATTTATTCAATAATGTTTTATATCAATTCGTCTTTTTCGGTTTTTATTCAAAAATAATATTTTGGTCACATTTGCACAGCTAAATCAAAAGTTTTTTGCAAAAAATACTGACCCTATTTTGAAAATTTAAAGACCCCATTTACTGCTTATTTTTTGGTAAAGATCGGTTTTCTTTGTAATTAATTGTTGAACATTTTTGGACGATTTTAATGAAACTTTATATGATGATAGAGAGCATGGGACGATAAAGAACACAATAAAATATTATAGGCCTACCAAAAGTGGTTTAATTTTAAAAAAATAGTAAAATTTTGCATAATCTGCCGAGCTTTTAGAAAATACTCCGGCTTGTGTTCATTTTAAATAAAAATTATAATAAATGGTTGTTTACCCAAAAGCAGAGGAATACAAATCAATGATTTCCCTTTTCTTCCTTGATTATTATTACAATTATAATAATTCACGTATTTATACGCATAAATAAATAAATTAGTCGTTCTATTTTACCTTCGTATAAAGGAGGCACTCTTTTTGCAGAATTGGATCCAGTTTCCTTTTCCTTTAATAATCGTGCTCAGTAGAGTCCTTTCTTCGCTCACTCTTTTCAGCACTTCATTAGTTCTTATGTATGTCCACTTCTCAAAACTCTTCAGATAGTCCATGCCTCTGATCCGTACAGAGCTATGTTTCAGACATATCACATTATTAAATTCCCGTAAGCCAAAAATCGAAAATGAAAATTTTTGCATATCTTCACGTTTCAGAAGTTTCTGAACATTCTGTCATACCTTAGAAAAAATTGGATGTATGTATGTGTGTGTGTGGATACAAATTTTCGTCGACGATTTTGCGAACATGGATCAACCGATTTGAATAATTCAAAAAACATTCGATTACTAATGATGAAGAGACGTGCTGATTAGTTTTTGGCAAAGGCAGATCTAGCCACTTTGGAGATACAAGGCAAAAAGTGCCTAAAATGGTATTTTAGTTTTTGAGAGAATAAGGCGTCTGATTTAAATAATTCAAAAAACATTTTTCTTATATTGGTGAAATGAACAATTGGTAAAATTTTTGTAAAGGCAAGCCCAGCGTATTTGGAGATCCAATAAAAAAAGTAAAAAATAATGCGATTTAGCGATCAAAAGTGATCATTAGACAGATGTACATTGTATTATCAGATATTTTATAAAAATTATAATAATAAATACAAATTTTGTGTATATTTATATGGGTTCCGTACCAATGTTTACACGTTAGACGACTACGCGGCGCTTTAGAATTTTCAAAAAAAATCAAAATACAAACAAATCAAAATATTAAAAAAATCAAATTTTTCAAAAAAGTCAAATTTTTCAAAAATATCAAAATTTTTCAGGAATCTAATTTTTTCAAAGCTTGGCAAAGTTTTTTTTATTTGGTTTTTGGTGCGGGAAATTCCAGCAATTTGCCTTAAGGCACGGTGCCATGCGCCAATAGTTTATAATAATCTGTTTGAAAACATTTAATATTCCTCGAATATTT